AGTCGATTCTTTGCATGCGGATGATGCTGCATGTTTTGTCACTTCTGTTCAGATGGACGAGGTTTGGTTTTAAATTTAAGAATTAAATTGCAATTACCACCTCCCCACCTTCACCCCCTGTTTTTTTTTTTTTTGTACGATGCCTGCACAAGAACGCATTTGACTATGAGCCCGTTGCTTACAGTGCAGTGTGATCTGAAGCTGTTTTTTTTTTCTTTCGGGTACCTGTAATCCCCCTTTATATACACAAGCACATGTTTTGCACTGCACATTTTATTTCAACATGCTAATAGTATTTTAGGTCACTGGAACCATTCATTGTCTAAGCCAAGAAAGCGGCTCAAAAGCTTCATTTTTTTCTTCATGCTGTTTTGCTTTTTCTTGCGGAATGCGCTCCTTCGGTCCTTGCCTCTCTTCATGACGCTTCCTTCTTTCATTCTCGCGCTCAGTTCGTTTTTTTTTTCTTTATCTTCCTGAATTTTGCTCATTTCATCAAAGAAGTGATTCATTTCCAGCATTCTAGAAGCCGAGAGTTTCGGCTTTTTGGACTCAGGTTCCTTCGTTGTGCTGGTCAACTCCTGGCTAGTTGAACTTTGGCTTGTCAGCTCCTCGATGTTTGGCTGGGCGGTCTTTTAATAGAGACTATTCCAGAGCTGTCCCTGAGCTCTTCTGGCTCAAGGCTGTCATCTAGCCAACGTATTTTGGCTATGTCGTCTTCAAAGGAAACGTCGCAAGGAGAATTCCCCGATTTGTTGTTATGTGCTGCAGAGCTTCTTTTTCGTCGCATGACTGTTTTGTAGCGGCTGCAGCACTGGTCCCCTGTTTTAGGGACCCCGACAGCCTCTGTGATGTTGGCCGCTATTTTGGCAAACATTGCCTTTTTATTTTTAATTTTCTTCTTTGGCCCTATTTGGGGAAAATACTGCTGGTAGTTGTCGAGCAACAGCTTTGTTTCTCCCGCCATCCACTCACAGCCTGTACCTGAAAAGAAAAAGTGCTTGAGACATTTGTACGGACGTTACCAGTTGCACGTCACCCGACACAGGTGTTAGAGAGTTGTGGTATTCTGCTGTGTTGGTATTAATGTAGAGCTTATAGGCATATAGGCATATATAAGCACCAACCTGTTTTAGTTTGTCTTGATATCAATTTTTCTGCTTTGATTTTTGTCGTTACAGTGCTTGGTGTTCTTTGCACTGATCCAACTGTATATATCATGTATAATTCATTACTTGAATGCATTTGTATCCTCTCCTGCTAGGGCCTCTAAATGGGCCTGCAGTATTCTTTAAATAAATAAATAAATGGACTCACTGCGTTGCTCGCTCTTTTGGCTGTGTTCCGGCACTGCGAATGGAAAAACGAAATGCATTGTTATTCATACAGCTGGCACACATGAAACGACATAACGACCAACGATTTGTGTTCTGTGACATAAATTGCTGTACATTGAAACACCATGTGAATTTCATGCAACTATGTACGCAATTAAGCTAAGCCATGTGAGGCTTCCTAACACACTTACTCTATGTTTGCTATGCTATCTCATCACGAGACAAAATTCTGAATAACAATTTCACGTAAGCATACATGGTGGCATGCAAGTTCTTCAACACATTGTGCACATTCTTGATTGAATTACACACTCTCATCATGATGCACAGAGTTTCTGATCAGCTAGCTGACTGTTAATCAAAATGAAGCACGATCTTTCAGGCCCGAAACAGGCAGTGACACTCCAGGAAAAGCAACGTAATTTCTGTGGACTGAGACCGATTCCTAATTTAGATGTGCTCAATGTCCTGACCTTGGTAACATTGCCAACCCATTAGATAGCAGAACATGCACTCACGCTGCTAGCTCTGCAGCTAAAATTTCCTGGGAGTCAAATTCTCGGGTGCGTAACACTGGCTTATAGTTTCTTCGAGACATATAAAGGCAGACAGCTGCTTCTGCGCCGCTTCCACTGAAAGGCGAGTGCACTGGAACTTGCCACATAGTAGTGCAGTACTAAAACGCTCGCGCGTTTGTGCTTGTACGGTAAAAGCGTTACTTTGGAGGCAACTCGCCGCATATGCGTACCTGCCAACCTAGGGACTTCTGCAATCGGGAGACTCGCCGCGGGAGTGGAGTAGGGGGCACAAAAAAATTGTTTTGGACAATCGGTCAAATTACCCTTATACCAAACACGCCCCCTTATACCGACGCGGTTCGTTTCTATTCGTGTGGCTACAAAGTGATAGGAAGTCGCTTCTTACTAATGACGCCGTTCCGTGCGACAGCGGCGTCGCGCGCACGTTTACTTTTGGCTGTATATTTACAGCGGTGTTTGTGCGATCAATACGGCGAAGGTTGTCGTTCTCCACGGACACAGGCAAACGAACAACGGTATGACGCATGCGATGCGTTTCAGTGACACGATCGCATCAGCAGTATAGAGCAACGTTGCAACATGAACATAGCGCGTGCAGACGATCGCTCCACGCAACACGTGTGTTGCATTCAACTTGCAATTACAGCACAGTGTTGAAATTGAGGAGACACTTACCATGTTGCTCCGCATACTGTGTGGTCACCATCGCAGACAGCGTGGACAATAGCTGTTGCACGCTTGGCGTGATATCCATTCCACACAGGTGAATAGCGCTGAACAAGCAAACGAACGATGCTGCGATGCTGGTAAACCCAAGGAGGTTATATTAAAGATTTAGTATAACCTCCTTGGGTAAACCACCTGGGAAACGAACAGCGGAAGAGACCATGCGCAAGGTATCCTGGGTAACGCGGCAGCTTCTGCCTTGCTCCAGCAGGGCGGGTTGTGTTCCGATGGCGGATTTGGAGGATTTGCTCTACGCCAGAGTCGAGTGCTCGCTCGTGAAGTCGGTCGGCTGCACCGACTCCGCCATTGGAATTCAACATAGTCGCACCATGTTGTGGATCCAGTTTCGGCGGCGCCGTCCACACCTTCACTGCGCATGCTCGCATCTCGTGCTAACTATCGCTCCCCTCTCTCGCCTCACAAGGTCAACTCGGGCAGCGTCTGCTATAAAAAAAAAAAGACTACTCGCACTGCACAATTGTTCGCTGGCCACCCCATATATGTAGGCACTGAACCGCACGTTCTGAATTCAGTCAGAGGCCTCTTGGCTTTCGATTGGCTTGACACTTTGCTTCACTTGAGTAGATGCGATGGCAGCAGAGTACCTTCACCCAGTAGTGGGGCATAACCCAACGTCAGCGTCCCGCCACTCGTTAAAGGCAACGCTTCTCCTTCATTCAATAAATAAGAATAATAAAGACAAAATAACAATTAAGTATTCCCAAACCATACCCAACTACGCAACACTCACGCGACACCCCCGCCACTCTGCGACACACTTAAGTTCCCCCCGTGGGAAGATGCGGGCTGCTTGTTTTCCAGTTTTTGCAGTATCGGGTTGCAGAAACTTCAACAAGCGCAGCTTCTACTGGCTGTGCTGAGATGCCTACACATTAACCTAAAATATGTGGCCAATGTGGGCAGTACCGTTCAGTCCAACAACTGGCAATAGCATTTTTGTCATTGCTCCCTGTTTGGATACTAACCAAAGCTCTAAAAGAGATTTCCAACGGCTCTTGTGTTGTAGTATTGGCTGACACTAGTCAATTTGTCAACACGCTTCTTACAGTATGTCAATTAAAAATTATTTGGATAATGCAGCCTTCATCAAAGCCTTCATGCAGAAAGTACCTATTAGTAAGACCTAACAAGGGGACGCTGGCATTAGTGAACACATTCAAACATCCCAGAGGCTAGTATCACCATTACACCATAAACCAATGCCACCTACACCATAAATGCCGCCGCTTACACCATAAATCATTACCGCCTACATTGCAAAGCTAGACAATTTGTGAGCATGCTGGCCTAATGCACAACCGGCATTGGTAGAAACGATGCAATATGGCTGTGTTTGCAATGGTTATAGTGAAAGCTATTAAAGTGTTGAGCTTGAATGTAATAATGCGTCTGGAATGGCTTATCAGCAAGGAAGTTCACTATATACGGGGAATCACGTGCTAAATTGAGTAGACCTTGACAAATGGCAACCCAAACCTCAAGACATCCAGAGAACATGGCTTATACTTAGTACTTTGTGGTCAGCAAGGTACAAGTTAGCAAGTTTGGCAAAGGGCTGAAGTGGGATGAAGGTCATCAGGCAAATGATTAGAACTTCATGAATATATTTATTCACCCCTATTCCAACAATCCCCTAGATTTGGGTGCACGTTAAAGAACCCCAGGTGGTCTAAATTTCTGGAGCCCTCTACTACGGCGTCTCTCATAATCATATGATGGTTTTGGGACGTTAAACCCCAGATATCAATCAATCAATCAATCAATCAATCCAGCAATCCCCTGCTAGAGTGCTGAAGCCATAGCAACCACTTGGCAGCATGAATGAGCATAGGTAATTACAATTGCCTTGGTTTACGATGGAAAGCATATTAGAAAAAATTACTGCTGAACTGTTACAGTACTATCTAGGTTGAACTACGTAGTCGAAATGACTTGGACACTACATCATGAAATGAGCTCGAAGTGCACTGTACAATTTTGTGTGGTCTGAATATACCATAAACACTGATATGAAAATGTATAAATGCCTGTGTACTATTTACATATGGATGCACGTTTTCACTACCCCACGTAGTCAAAATTATTCTAGAAACCCCAACTCCCACAACCACAGCGTGCCTCGTACTTGTTTCAAGGTTTCATCTCATGAAACCTCATAGTATAAGTTTTGTAGTTGTGGACTTTAGAAAAGTACTATATTATAGTTACGTAATAGCTGGCCACAGCAGCTGTACTCGAGACACCTGCCTACAAAGCTCTCAGTGAGTATTGACAAACATTTAGTGACCACTGATAATCCTTAATAGAGCAATGCATTACATCACCTCTCAAAGCCTCGTGGTTCAATATCAGTCTACCATTTCTGAATTCAGCACTGTGGTTGAGAAAATCTGTGGTACAGACTTTATTTTTGGTTTTTATTTCGCTTATACAGAAACATGAGATGCTGGGCATACATACACATAACACACTTAGAAAAATCAAGATAAACATGAGAGATGACACAAGTGTCGAAGCAAGGAACAAAACAAATAAAAAGCTTTATACATGTCCCACTCTCTCTGATGAGCAATGATTGATGAGGGGCAGTGAGTGGTTGCTACAGCTGCACGTCTAGTCCACCCTGTGGCGACAACTTGTGAGATCCGTTCCGTTTAAAAAAATTTTGCCACTCGGCTTGTGTGACAAGTTGGCACAAGCAGAACAAAAGAGTAACGTGGTGACAAAGTACCAAGCAAACAAGACAAAATAAGAATACTGCACAAAACATGTGGCTACAAGTTTGAAGAATCAAATGGACATGCACAGTGGCTATTTGCTTCTATGCGCGAACCTTTGGCAGTGTGGCTGGCTTGCGATGTCGCGCGCTCCAGGACGCACGGCATCTATGACTGACACCTCGCAGGCATCCATTCAGTATAAAACTGCTGGATGCTTGCTAACTCCCTGCAATGCTTGCAGTCCTCACTCGAAATAAGATACTTTCATTAACGAAAGGATACACAAAACACTGAGTACTTGCGTAGCACAAAGAAATGAACAGGCACAGTAACAAAGAATATGCAGAGACCTGACAATTTATATTGCTGATAATGTATAGATGAAGCTGAGGGGCTGTGAAGGGTGGCCGATTCGAAACCCTTTCACCCAAACTCACCAGTTTAGTTGAAGATGGACACGTGGTGTGGTGGCACCATATACTTTGCCCTCACAACAGCATCCTATGATTTCCTACAGGTACAAGCCTAGCACTGGTTTGGTGCTTTGCCATAGTAGAGATGATGCTTATAGAACACCTGCCCTAGTTAGCGTGAAAGCCAGTCTGATCTTGTTACTGTTCAAAATAACCTTGTCATCTATTCAAGAGTGCCACCATACCATTATGAAACAATAGCTACAGATACTTACTTCTGCAACTCATAAACGAGCACAGTTCACCATTTCTGGGGCAGGGGACTGGAAGATGAGGCCATCTTATGAAAATATGAGTATTCAGAACACTGAGCCCTGGGTTGCAATGGGGAATCGAGCACAGTGCCCCACTTGACCAACACTGCTGCACCCATTACGCGGTGACCTTGAAATTAGGCATCTCTCCTGGTCTTTGTGTTTGACTAACGGCTGGCCAGTAGCAGCACATTTTGAGGCCCTCAGCTTCCTCTTCTTAGCCACGAACACGAAGGTGTGAAGCTATGCATGTGTGAATGTCCTGGGGACATTTGCAGTAATTTTCGGTGTGGCAACCTTACAGAACCCGATGGATATATGAATTTCTGTAATATATCTGTTAGATGATGACTGGTGCACAATAGCCAATGATAGACACTAATTTTATGCAATCATCAGTGTCCTAAATTGCCGTCATGGTACAATGACACTTCCTCCAGATAGCATAACAAGCTGCCTAAGCAATTACTTAGCAGCCATTAGCAGCTGGAAATCATTATATCAACTTACAGGAACTGGCTTGCCTTCTGATAATCGCAAGCTTTCCTTTTTCCTTAGACTCTTCACCAACTGGATATACCAGCATTACTGCATAACGCCGGTGAAGAGACCAGCTTTTCTAATGTTTTCGTCGAGGGTCACAACAAACGATGGGGAAAGTAGTTATGATGACAGAACACAAGATGCAAAATCAGTTCTTCTTGGCATATTCAGGGAACACACTGTACTCTTCCCAACTGGCACATGGCTCATGCTGGGATGCCCGACTGCGCACATTGGCGCTGATGTAGTTCACAAACGGGCTCTCCTTGAGGGGTTGGGAGCCGAGTGATGGCGTGCCAGCGTGCACAAAGCTATGGAACAGCTTCTGCAGGTTGTGCTCAAACTGCAGGTCATTGCGGTGCATCTCTGATGAGCCCGCTGCAGATGACATTTTGCCAAAGATGGCTGCTACGTCCAGCCCATGCTGCGCGAGCCTGGTTGGCTCGGCATTTGTGGAGAAGGAGAGTGAAATGTTTGGCGAGTAGTCGACAATGTAGAAGTGTGCGGCTCTTGCCCCTTCGGTGGCATTGATGAAGTCGCCGGTCAACAGCTCCAGTGGACAGGTCACACGGACATCGGAGATCTGCACATCATAGACAAGAGGTGCTGGTCTGTCAATTACAAAAAGAACTGCGAAGTAATGTTGCTAGGTGCGCACCTTTTGCACCCATCTTACACACATAAAACACACATATGCACCCATGTTTGCTGTACCTAGTAAATGCCATACGAAAGATCCAGTATGATCTAAGAATCTGAATCACCATACCCATTAGGCATAAATAAGGGTCTGGTAACTTTTATTTTGTAAGCAGCACATATCTCCGTTTCAGTAGTTCTGTGCAGCACTGTGGAAGTTACAGTCCTTTTCGACCAATCAAGAGGCGAGCACATAAATGCATCCTTCTGTGCCCTGTCATCAGCAAGCGGGGAGCGCTGCTTGTAATATCAGCTCACGCACCGTCGGAATTTCCTCTTTTTAACAGAAATTATGCATGACTTTGTGCAACACACCGAGTTTGGAGTCGTACAGCAGATTTTTTTTTTTTATCAAGGCCTCCGTCACTGTGAAACGCCGTCTTGGGGGTGACAGCTACCCAATACGGTGCGTCTGCATCTGCTGTGAGACGCACTTCAAGCTTTATGCTCCCCATTTTTCAATAAAAAGCGCAGCATAAATTAAATGACGTGTCCTCAAGCTGGCACTTGAATAAATGACGGCTATGGTAGATTAGGATAAACTAACAAACGCGTAATGTACACCCTCCGATATTTCAGAAGCGCCAATCGCTACCCGCTAAGCCTACAACATCAGTTATAGGCGCGCACTCTTTATCATGTCACAAAGATTTTTGGCAACCGCATTATAAGCGGTCTTTTATATTAGGGGGGACTGCACAATAAGTGGTATGCGTATACATGGGGTTCTATGGGAGGGTAAATGGGAATCGTAAAAGACTGCATCATAACCGGCTCTGCGCTATTGGCCTCCCGACTTTGGCCAGAAGATGCATCATAACCGGCTCTGCGCTATCGGCCTCCCGACTTTGGCCAGGTGGCACTGCGCTGCGCGCGTTTTGCCGCTTTTATAGCAAAAACTGTTCGCTTGGTGCTCCACTCCCGCCTTCTGCTTGCGCTTTCTTAGCACGTTCACGCGCTCTGCACGTGCTGTTGCTGGTCGCCTTGCACGTGAAGCATCAGCTGTGACTAGCTCCGAAGGTTTAAAAAGATTGTAAAAACCTTCTTATGGAGTGACTTTCAACAGAACAAAGAGCAATTAGTTGACAACCTTTGCGGGACCAAGCAAGTCAAACACGATGTCTTTGAGCAAGTGCTATGTGCGTCTCGATAGTGAACAGCCCCATTTCTATGACATTAAAAGTGAGATGACAGCGAATTATAAGTGTATGTTACCAGCAAAATGCGCATTTGCTGTGGCAGTTGCGTCTTCTCGGAGCTGTCAGCAAACCACCATTACGCTTTTGCGGGCATCATTTGTATATAGCGTTTGGATTTCGATTGCTTGGATGCCAAGTGTGTCCTGCTGTTTCAACTTTATTTGGGGGTCAGTGTGAAAATCCGAAACATATGTCTGCCCAGTTGAGTCGCTGGCACAATTGCGATGCGCAGTTTTCAGTTTCCTAAGAGTTTCATTTTTGCCGAGGTTTTCTTTGGATGTTAACGCCGCATCGTAAGTTCGATGCCACCTAGGATTTTTTTCTTTTTACAGCTTCTTTGAAAGCATAATGATGAGCACGAAAAAAGTATTTTATGGCCACTTCGAACATGTGTATTTCAAGCAGCGCATGTTTCATTTCGGACAATATGCATGCCTAATCACAAAGCATGTTCACTAGGCTTGTGCGAATATTCGAATGCTTTGAATATTCGAATGAATAGTTGAGTATTCGAATTCGCTTCGATTCGAATTGAAATTATCGAATATTTTCTAAGTATTTGCAATGAATGAATAATTGTATATTATTAACCCGCATGTAATCGCCTGTAAAGGTGGTTTCACTGCAATGTAGGGTTGCTAAGCCATGAACGCCTCTCTCTACCCAGGGGAAATTCTTTTCGCCGCAAAGCCCCCCTTGAAATTTAAAGGGCCACTCACCAGGCCCCATACAGAATTTTAGTTAGACAGTGGAAGTTGTTGGATGTCCGATGAGGAACATTTTGCCACAAAAATTTTTCGAATCGGTTCATCCCGAGCGGACAAAACAGGTTTTTTGAAGTGGCACAAAACGAGGATGAGAGGAGGCAAGCTCAAACCCCTTGCCACTCCTCCGCGTAGCCTTCGCAAGCCAAATCTCTTCCCCACCCTCTCCAGCATCCAAACATGAGGTGACGTGCGCATGACGTGCCCAAACAAGTCCAACCACCGAGCACGCCAGCAGCGTTGCTTTGTTAACCAGCGTTATTTTGTGGTCTTCTGTCCATTTCTGCGGGATGGTTTGGAAACGCTGGCTTAGACGCGGTAGAGTAGATGAGCACAACATAGGAGCACAATGAGTGTGCGAACGCATAGCAGCGTTCCACGGCGGTTGTCTGCTCAATTCGCTGACCACGGGGACACGAACGCATGCGAAACGCTGGCACATTAGCCCCGAATCTCGTAGCATTTCCCGGGGGAAAAAAAAAGAAAGAAAAACGTGCACAATTTTTTTATTCCATCTCATTATTTATTTCCAAGTTTTATTAATCTTTTAAAGCAACGAATAAATAAAATACGCATGCTGCGTTAAATAATGTTTGCCATGTCATGTGGTATACTGTTGACGACAGAGCAGAGTCATCTATGTGCAGAAATATACGGCTCTGGTCACAGCCATTGGCTGATTTGAGCATGGCGCGCTCATCTTTACCGGAGCCGCCGCGTGTCCTAGAGTACCTGTGCAATCACACTAAAAAGCAGCGTATTTGAAGAAAAAAAAAAGTGCTCAAGGTCACGAGGCGCGTGTGACGTATTTTATTTCGCCGTGCCATTCCTCCCTGCTTAGCTTCCAGCTCTTTTGTCGGGACGAGAAGAGAGAATGCAATTGCAGCGTGCGACAAATTTTCGAAACTCTGCTCGTACTGAACTGATTCTAGAAACTTTGCTGCGGTAAATTTGCGAGGCAACAAGCATGTTTACTGCCTCCATGGCTACTTAAAAAGTGTTGCAGGGCGCCTTTGAATGAACATGTTGCCCTCAAATCAATTCTTCATTTTATTAAGCTCGTTATGATGGCTTATATGCTCCAGGTATAATAAATTTTAAAACGTGAAGTATCTAACAGGTTATCACTCGCATCGTACCCAAACTACTACACAAAGTTGTTTCGACTTACTTTGAACGAAAAAAAAAAGGCATTTGCATAGAGCCCCTATTTCAATTCAAAAGAAATATTGTGCAGGTTAGTTAGGTCATGATAAATATTCCCTTTGTTTTATACATCATACATACCATTCGAATTCGATTAGAAATTATTCAATCAAAATCACTATTTGCTTTGAACCTAAAATTCACTATTCACACAAGCGTAGTGTTCACTGATTCAAATGTTGCTTCGTTTGTTTTGACCATTCACTTGGTCTTCGTCATACTACACAGTACCCAGTAGGATCAAGCATGTTTTTTGTTACGCCAAGATTTGCCCTTGATAACCGCATCTATTTTCGCAAAAGCATCCGAAATTTTATTGGCGCCTCGGTTCTTTCTTCAGCTCGCTTTCATAGTGGCAGCTGTATATCGCCCGCGGCTAAGGCGCATGCAAGGATATAATATATTATGTGCCAAAACCATGATATCATTAGGAGGCACGCCGTGGTGTGAGGCTCGAGACTCTGACCACAAGAGGTTTTTTTGTCGTGCACCTAAATCTATCTGAAGTGGGCTCGGCAGCACCCCAGCGATGGCTCGCATTCACTTGCAACACCTGCTTTTTATGCAGATATTCTTTGCAACACTCTTTTATGCAGATATTCTTTGCGGGCTCCGATGTGCAGTACGCTGCACATCGGAGCCCGGCCCCCCAGGCTGAGCACCCGCGGCACGCTTTGAACCCAACAGCCAGGATTCGCCATCTGCCTTGTGCCGTGGATACCCTGCCGCCCGCACCGCACGAATGCTCTTCAATGTTCCTGCTTGTGCCTCCGTCACTGCTGCTGCCCTTCCCCTCATGGTCGCGAGGCACAGAAACAGTACTTACGTCACACCGCTACAATAAAAACTTCACCAAAGGCCTCGCACTCTTTAGTGGGCTCGGCAGCACCCCAGCGATGGCCCGCACTCACTTGCAACACCTGCTTTTTGTGCAGGTAAAAAATTCCTGTTCCCTGTTTTCCAAGCGTACCAAATACGCTGCTTTGCTAGTGCTGCCGAGCCGCAACTGTTGCAGATGTATTCATGCCCTGCGAGTGTTGCTGCTATTAAGTGACGATATCGAGACTAACCCAGGCCCTGCAACTCGGTCCGCTAATGCTGAAACCTCTAGCGACATTATGTCTGTCCTCAGCAAAATCCAGTCCAGACAGGCAGCCATCCTTAACAAAATAAAATCTATTCGTTCTACGCTGCTGCAACACGAGGAGAAATTTGAAGAAATCACTAAAAGACTCTCTAAAATTGAAGACGACTGCTCTGTAATAGCCACGGCAAAAGGAAAGGTCGATGGCTTGCAGACACTAACTGAGTAAAACTGCGGCGATATCGCTAGCCTTGTCGCCAGGATGGACGACTCTGAGGACAGACAGCGACGATCCAACCTTGTTTTTTACGGTTTTGAAGATGTCAGTGACGAGACTTGGGCACAGTCTGAGAAGTGCGTCATCGATCTATGTCTTGCCAATCTTGAAGTTTCAGTCCAACCTTGAGACATCGAACGTGCTCACCACATAGGGCGTTTTCAACCAAACAAAAACAGGCCCATCATTGTCCGGTTCTGCCATTTCAAGGACCGAGACCTAGTGTTGTCCAACGCTAAAAAACTAAAAGACTCCAATTACAGCATTAGTGAAGATCTTTCCCCCATACAGGCAAGGCCCGCAAGCACCTCATTGAATTTGGTAAAGCATCTCACAAGACGTATAAAATTCGGC